AGAGTGTCTTGAACCTCACTTAGAAGGCTATTTCACAACCTAAACAGGTATTCGTCAGGTGGACAACCAACTTTTAAAATACGTTTTATGTTTTTGACATACACACAAATTTTTAAACATGCAAAGAAAAGTTATCAATTTTTGTTTCGTAGAAAAGTATATTTTTGTTTGAAAATGGTTTATCAAAACTTATCTTTTTTTCTCTCCTTTTTTTCTTTTAGAAATTCCTTTGTTTTCCACGAGTCGATTACGCTGTCAAGCGTAGGACTGCCAACATCCTGAGGAGGTTCGAGCCGACTACCGCTAGACTTATGTCGGTGAAGGATACCATATCCTATTGTTCATCAAATGTCTGAATCTTGATGTTATAGGATAGGACATCTTTCTGCTCTATCTTCGGTGTGCCTTTATCATCAACACCGTACGCGCCAAAACGAGTACTTGCGACCTTGCTTGATGGTTTCACGTATAGTAAAAGGCTATACGTGGACCCTTATGCATCGGGCTTAAGCATCGAAAAACCCGAACCAAGAAGCAAGGAAAAAAAGAACAAAAATAGGGTGAGAGAGAGGAGACACTGATCCATCTAAAATACTGAAAAGGAGAATGGATCAGTTCCCAAAACTCGTATCGAAAAGACCTGGAAAGGTACGGCCCGAGGTCTTTCCTAACAAACATAAAATATCCCTTTGCGCTGATTCTCCAAACCCCAAGAACGCAGGATTAATCAAATCAACCAAATACTCTCGCAAATAAAGCTTGCAAATCCTCCCCAGATCCCAAAGTTGATATCAAAATCTTCCAACTTTCGAATTAATCCATAACTTCACATATCAAACAAGCATAGAAATCTTCCCATAAAATCATGTAAATGCTCACGATCGGGATCACTACACAGAGCTGAATAGTAGGTAGGACTCACGGCCAGGGTCAGCAGAGAAGAGGAAACAACCAACAAGGCTCATAACCAAAGGCAGCCTAAAAGACAATAGGTAAGGCCTACAGTTAAGGCAACAAAGGGGCCCAAAAAGAACTAATAAAGCTCACGGTTTAAGCCAACAAAAAGACCTCCAAAGGCAACTATGCTTCCCTGACAATCATGAAAGGATAATTGAAATAATTATAATTTTTGGGATGACAAACTTGATTCATCCACGACATTCAAGCCAATCAAGCCTAGCAAGAAGGACCAAATCACACCCAATGACTTACAATAGGCCTCATGGGTAAGTACCAAAAGAGGAGGCTGATTCAATCCACATCACAAACCCATGGCTAGGCACCAAGCAAACATCACATTGCGGTCTCAAAAACTGTCAAATCGATCCATCAAAACCAAATATCAGCCTTCGAATGGAAACAACACAGCACATCCAAAACAGGTTCTCGGGTAAGAGCCGAAACCAACAAGAATAAAAAAGAACCAAGCCATCTCTCGGATAGGGACCAAAGACAAGCAAAGCAAATCATCAAGACTCTCGAGCAAATATGAGTTTTAAAGACTCAATCAAGGGCTCAGGAGTAGGAGTTAAAACAAGCAAACCAAGCTCTCAAGTCAAGCCAAAACCCGGCCACAGCTAAGGCTTAAATCCAAGTTACAACGAGATAGTCAAAAGAAAACATTCCCATACCCCTGAGATACCAAAATATAGAAACGACACATACTTTACACAAGAACTACAAAATTATTGTGAATCAACAGAAATTTATCCATCACACGTTTCTTTGAGCTCGGTGGAATACCAAAACCGAGCCCAACAGGGGCCTCCATAAGGATAGAGCTCTATTCATTTTAATTCCAAAACCGAGACTCCAAACCCAGCCAAAATCGAGCTCAACAAGAACCAGAAACCAAAACCGAGCTCAGCAAGAACCAAAAACCAAAAAAAAAAATCGAGCTCAGCAAGAATCAGAAGCCAAAAACAAGCTCAGCCAGAACCAAAAGCCAAAGTCAGAGCTCAACAAGATTAAAAAAGGCCCAAACATTGATATATAAATTCATACTTTAATAGAAATTAAAGTTCCAGCCACCTGTAGGTAGAATCGAGTCATTCAGAGCTAAGAAACAACCTGCATGTCTAAATATCCCAAGCATGAAATTATTCCAATAAATATATGAACAAGGGAGGAACTTCACGAGGAGCTGAACTAAGCCCTCATAACAAGCTATAACACTTTCCACATTAAATAGGTTTTCTTATAGCATATATTTCAAACCAGGGAAAGCCACAGGAAGCCAAAACCGAGCCCCCAAACATGCATAAAATAGTAAAATGCACTCCCTAGCATGCATGAAAGGCTAAATAACCTCTCCAATATTTCATACCAAACGAAAATAAGTGAAAAGCTTCATAATACTCATCCCAACATGCTTGCAAGAGGAGCAAAAATCATTTCAAAGTCATGCCTTAACTCCCTAAATGTTTCCAACGTAAACATGCCACAAGAACCATGAATATGTCATAGCCTCCCTAGTTTAAGCGAGTAACCAAGTCTAATTTTAACACATGCTCACATTTTCATTTCCAAATGCACTTGAAGTAAATATCTCAAAAATATATCCAAGTAAAATGAACTAGCATGCTGTATCCTCCATTTAACCGAGCAAGAGGAGGCTCGACAGAGAGAAAACCTCAGGAAACCAAGGCATAGGAAAGAAATGGAAGAAGAGGTACCTCCTCAATGCAAACGTAAAGCACAGCAACACAAGAAGCTACCTCAAAGAAATGCTCTCACAGAAATTCCCTTTCCAATCTCCTCACAGTCAAAATTTTTACTCTCCTCTCAGAAAAACTTTTCTCAACAACCTCAAAAAATTTCAAAAGGAACTGTGTTTATAGGCAGAGAACAGAGGAGAAGAGAAAGATGACCACCCCCAACTGTCCACGACACTCGAATCGGGCCAAAGAAAAAAGGACACGCTCCCCGCTCACAGAAGGTGAAGTCACCGAAGCCTCTCGGACCGAGCGGCGAGACTAGGGGCAGCGAGGGAAGCATCGGGAAGAAGAGAAGATATTGCCGTTCAAGTGTACCAGGGAACAAGCTTCCCAGAGTCAAACTACCAAGAAAAGGAAAACCACAGCTCAGAGAGACTTGCACGGCTTCGGGAAGGAAGGCCGCGGGCAGCAGCACGTCAGGCAAGGACTAACGAGGTCAACCTTCTCTCGTGCGGAGGAGGAAGAGTTCGGTCGGCTCGAGAACGAGAAAGGGAAAGGGCTAGGCACGCGAACGGGAGAGGGAAATGAGGCAGAGCTCGTGTGCGTGCGTTAGGGGAGTTCGTAGTCTGTTTCGTCATCCGGGGTCGCTCGGATGATGTCGTCGACAAACGAGTCAATTAGTCGAAAACGCGTTAAAATTCAAAATTTAAATTTTGGCCAGCGGTCGATCGCTTCAAAAGTTTTATTCAAGTCTTCGATAGATAACAGTGCAAGCGATGTGAATTGTGGCGATCGGACGTGTCGACTCTCCGAATTGCGAAGTTTATGCGCGCGAGACTGCGAATTGTGCAGAATGTCACCCTAAGACTCAAAAAGGTCCTATAGGAATTCCTTTTGGGTTTCCTCATGTCGGCTTCACCCGCCTTATGGAAGTCGATACCACACATGCGAAACTCCAAAAAGGGACAGAAGTGGGTTGAATTTTTAGAACAAGGCGGGTTCCATTTCTAAGGTTCTAAGACAGTCGAAGGGAGATCCCTAAGGCTAGATCCTAAAACCTAAGAGGAAGACTATATCTCACTAAAAATGAGGTCAACAAGGTAGAGCTAGGATGACTTGGGCATATCGTATAAAAATTATCTTAATTTATTAGAATTAAGTGAAAATATGACACTAAATAGGATGCAGTGGAGAAAAATGATTCATGTAGCCGACCGCACTTAGTGGGATAAAGGTTTTGTTGTTGTTAAAGGTTTTGTTGTTGTTTGTTGCTTGGTTGATGAGGAAATGAGTTATTTTTTCTTTAGGGGGGTCATTTGAGTTATACTGGTTATTGAATATATTTTTCTTTCTAAGATTGGGTATGAAATTGTCAAAGATAAAATGCATTTTTCTAATATTTTATGGTAAATCCAGTTACTTGTTAATTACAAGGGAACTAAACCATATGAAACTGTGAATTAAACTGTATTTGCAGTACCTCCATTTCATTCAAACTAAACTTACTCTATGGCTCTGAATTTAACTTAACGACTTAACTTACTTGAAGGAATAGTTAAAATATCATAATCATTCGTTTATTGATTTAGTCTTACAATCTGATGTCATTAACCGTTTTTGATCTTATTTTCTTGTTTGAGTTGTCATTTGACATTATATTCTGCCCTTATAATTATATCTTTTGTCTTGTTGTGCAATCTTAATGGAATAATTTTTCAGCCTATTTTATTATCTCTTCTCCAGATCGAATGTTGCTGCATCAGATCCAGTGAGTGAATTTTGGAATCTTGAGGAGGATGCGACCTCTGATGAAGATATATCAGAATCTGAAGGTGCTTACTAGTTTATGATAATGTAAAAAGTTCATCCTTTATTCTTGTTTTGGAAGTATCCATCGAAACAATATGTGTGTGTGTGTGTGTGTGTATTTATAAAGGGGATGCACAAGAGTGTGCAATTTATAGAGGAATTAAGTTGATGTGTCATAAATTAAAATTACGGGAGAGGATAATTGAATGTAGGCTAAGACGTAGTACAAAGATTTCTCATGATCATTTTTTATTTGTTTCGAGCAGGTCTTCTTTGGAAGCTATACATTTATTGAGAGGTCTGATGGAGAAGCTCAGAGTTAATAAGGAGGATCTATATTTGATTTTTATTGATTTAGAATAAGCTTACGATAAGGTTCCAAGAGATATCCTTTGGAGAGTTCTTGAGAAGAAAGGTGTTGATATGACATATATTCAAGTCATTAAAGATATGTATACTAGAGTTATTACTAATGTTTAAACAGAAGGAGGATTGACCAAATATTTTCTTATTTCTATTGGATTACATCAGGGATCGGCTTTAAGCCCATATCTTTTTGCTTTAGTTATGGATGGTCTTATTGGACATTTACAGGAAGATGTACCTTGGTGTATGCCTTTTGCTGATGATATCCTTCTCGTGGATAAGACAAGAGAAAAAACTTAGGAAAAACTTGAATTACGGAGGTATACACTGGAGTCTAAAGACCTTTGTTTGAGTAGAACTAAAACTGAATACATAGAATGTAATTTTAGTAGTATTTGCTCTAGTGACAGAAGAGTAACTTTGAGTGATCAAATTATTAAAAGGTGTGAACGATTTAGATATCTCGGGTTTATTGTTCAAAGCGATGGTGATATAGATAGAGATGTTATTAGTAGAATTCAAGTTGGTTGGTTGAAGTGAAGGAATGCTTCTGGCCTATTGTGTGATAAAAAAGTACCGCTTAGGCTAAAAGGAAAATTTTATAAGTTGATGGTGAGACCTGCAATGCTTTATGGTGCGGAATGTTGACATTTAGAAGAGAAGCATAATACTAAGTAAAGTGTTGCCTAGATGAGAATGATTAGGTGGATGAGTGGTTTTACACTTAGAGACAAAATGCGAAATGAATATATCTGTGATAGGGTTGGTGTTGCTCCAGTGAAGGGCAAAATTGGAGAGAGTCATCTTAGATGGTTTGTTGCATTAAACATCGACCATCTGATGATCCAATTAGGAGAGTAGATGTTTTAGATTTGACTTTTGTTAAGAAAGGCAGAGGTAGACTTAGGAAGACTTGGGCTTATTGTATAAAAAATGATCTTAATTTATTAGGATTAAATGTAAATATGACACTAAATAGGATGCAATAGAGAAAAAGGATTCATGTAGCCGACCCACTTAGTGGGATTGAGGCTTTGTTGTTGTTGTTGTTATGCCCGTTCATGGACCGGTCCCTCCTAAACAGGTTGAAAGCCAAAGCCATTGGCCCGCCACAACAGCAAGCATGTCGATCCTGCTCGGGAGAAGAAATCGGGCGGCACGTTGCTGCGACAGAAAGGGGCAGCGGACAGGTTGGGTCCACGAGAGGCTTAATTACATACTCAAGGAGGAGAAATTAAAGCAAATTTGGGGGGAAAGTAGAAAAGGAAAGTTTTTCAAATATTGTGGGAGGATTCTAGTAAAGAGAGCAACTTATGGTTTGTTTTCTTTATGCATGTTTTGTTGGCTGATGTGTTTTTCTTCTTGTGGTGTTCCTAGCGACGTTTAGGGTTGTGAAATAGTCGATCTACCTCTCGAATTGTAGATCTCCCTTGTATCTTACTTTTTTGCCTTTGTTTGTTTGTTATGAGCAACCTTTTTTTTGCATTTGTCTTCTATCTCTTGTTGTTCCGTGATTGTTTGCTCGCTTCTTTTGGCGTCGGAGCTTATCAAGTTGGTATCAATGCCAAGATCTTTGTGGGATGATTGGAAAGAAAGTAGATGTGCTGGAAGGAGAGGTGCCGCAAATCAAATCGGGAATGGAAGAGAAGTTTGCCTCCTTGGAGGATAGGTTTTCTTCAATTGAAAATCGAACGGATGATGAGTTTGAGAGCATAGGAGAAATGTGGGAGATGATGAAAAAAGTCATGGTGATGCAATCCAAATCGTGTCGATCACTCCTGTTGCAAACCCTAACCACGAGTTGATCAGGGAATTCTTAGTCAGGTCAAAAAGGAAGTTGATCGAGCAAGAAGACAGCGCAAAAGATATCATCTACCTACAGAAGCGTCCTACTATGACTCCTAAAGGAGGGGGAGTGGGGACTTTTGATGGAGGGGGATGGGCTGAAAATCGGAGGGATGATTTAAGAGGCACGGAAGATGCATATGGGTGGGTGTATTGGGCGAAGCGATACTTTGCAATCAATGGGCTAACAGATGAAGAGAAACTCATGGAAGCAGGATTATGATTGGAGGGAAAGGCTTTAGCGTGGTTTCAGTGGATGGAGGAAAGATATATGGTACACTCCTAGAAGGAGTTTAAGGAGTGCTTGTCGGTGCATTTTCGAGCTATTAGGGAAGGAGATCTACACGAGCAATTTGTGCTCTAACTCAGGAGGAGACGGTTACAAAATACCGAGAGAAGTTCGAGCTCTTCTTAGAGAGGTTGAGGGGGATTTCTGCAACAAGACTGAAAAAAACTTCTTGAAAGGCCTAAAGCACGACATACGAGCAACCATCCGCCCCTTGAGATCGCAAGATTGAGGGAAATAATGGAGCTCGCTCAGATGATGGAAGATTATAAAGAGTGAGAAAGACCAGCAAAGGCAGCAACATCAGAGGATTCTACAAGAGCACTTTGACATCCACGACATTGAGGACCCATACATTGTCATTTCAGAAAGAGTTGTCGAAGGAGAAGAATACAAGAACTCATCCTGGAGGTAATTTCAAGCGTCTCACAGATGCAGAAGTGCAGGATAGGAGAAATAAAATGATTGTGTTATCGTTGTGACGAGAAATATACCCTAGGCCACTGTTGCAAGGAGACACCCTTAAGATTCTTCTAGTTCAAGAGGAAAATATAATGAGTGAAGAATCAAAGGAGGACGCGGCAGAAGAGGAGCATCTGCATTTGGATGTGACAGGGTTGTCCCTCAATTCGGTGGTGGGATTTACCCCGAATCACACCATGAAGGTGGGGAGTGGATTAGAGAACAACCGATTTTAGTGTTGGTAGATAGCGGGCTGCATGTAACTTTATCTCAAATCTGGTCGTGGAGAAGCTAGGGTTGGAGCTGACGACTACAGGGAGCTTCAACGTCGTGATGGGGATAGTTAAGGTGGAGAAAAGTTGTGGAATTTGCAAGGGGTTGGTTCTGATACTACATGACCTACAGGTGGTGGAAGACTTCTTTCCCTTAGATTTGGCAACACATATGTGATTTTTGGGATGAAGTGACTGCTTACGTTGGGAGAGATGAAGGTGGATTGGAAGTCCCTGACAATGGAGTTCCAAGTACAGCGTAGAAAGGTGATGGTGAGAGGAGATGCTCGTTTATGCAAAACTATGATGTCGTTCAAAACCATATTAAATTCGGTACGGGGAAAGAGGCAGGGCTACTCGGTGAAGTTGCAGAGCATTGTGGAGATTTGTGATTCAGAGTTGACAGAGTTTCTTGAAGGGGTACATCATCTCTTACAGTAGTTTACGGATGTCTTCCAACAACTAAGCCGGTTACCTCCCTGAGGGAGCATGATCACGCCATTGCCTTGAAGGAGGGTATTTCCCCCATCCCCCTATCCGCATCAGACCTTTCAGGTACCCCCAGATTCAGAAGAATGAGATAAAGAAGTTGATTCAAGAGACGAGGCCGGGATTATCTGGCCTGGTGTGAGTCTTTTTTCCAGTCTCGTCCTATTGGTGAAGAAAAAAAATGGTAATTGGAGATTTTGCGTGAACTACCTGGCTTTGAACAAGGGGATGATGTGGACAAGTTTCCTATTATTGTGATTGATGAGTTACTGAATGACCTTTATGGGATAGTCATTTTCTCAAAAATTGATTTTAAGTCGGAATACCACTAGATCAAAATGAATCCAGCAGATGTGCACAAGACAACATTTAGAACACGAATTGCATTATGAGTTCTTAATGATGTCGTTTGGCCTAACCAACGCCCCAACGACATTTCAAACCCTCATGAATAGGGTTTTTCAACCCTATCTCCGGAAATTTTTCCTAGTCTTCTATAATGATAGTGTGATATATGGTCCTATAGAGATAGAGCATGTGGGGCACCTAAAGACAGTCCTGGAGACGTTGAGGGAGCACCAATTGTATGCCAACTTGAGGAATATTCTTTTGCACAGTTTCAGGTGGAGTACCTAAGACATGTGACCAGAACGGGAGTTGCAGTGGATCAGTCGATGATCAAGGTTATGATTGATTGGCCCTTATCAAGGAGTTTTAAGGAGTTGATATGACACGATATTTGTGAGAAGATATGACACGATAGCATGGTCACTGACGGAGCAGTTGAAGAAGACAATTTCAAATGGGGGAAGCAATGACACTGACATTTGAACATCTGAAGAGGACTACGACTTGTGTACTGGTATTAGCACTTCCATATTTTAGTAAACCATTGGTGGTGGAGACAGATTTATCAAGGTACAAATTGGGAGCAGTGCTCATGCAGAATCAGAGGTCGATTGCCTACTTTAATCAGGTTCTTAAGGCCAGAGCGAGGCTAAAGTCAATATATGAATGAGAATTGATGGCAATTGTTTTTATCATTTAGAAGTGGTGACCCTATTTATTGGGATGACATTTTTTTGTCATGACAGATTAGAGGAGTTTAAAGTATCTTCCGGAGCTGCGGATGGTGATTGAGGAGCATCATAGATGGCTATCCAAGCTACTGGTGAATGATTTCGAGATTCAGTACCGACCATGATTGGAGAACAAGGCAGCTGACACATTGTCGAAAAAGATGGAAGAACCCCAATTGACGACCTTATCGGTACCCTTGGTCCTAAATTGGGAAGCCTTGAGACTGAAGAGCGAAAGAGATGAGGAGCTGAGGAAGATGAGAGCCTAGTTACTACAAGATCCAAACAGTCATCTAGAATATGCATTGAGGGGATAGCAACTGTTCCACCTGAGGTAATTCATGCAATCCAAGTCATCAGAGCGTATTCCCAAATTATTACAAAAGTTTCTTGCGATCGGGGGATACTCAAGGGTGCAAAAGACATACAGTCGTCTGGCGGCAGAACTTTATTGGGTGGTGATGCGCAGAGAGATTGAGGACGTGATGGCAAAATGTGATGTGTGACAGTGGCACAAGTACTTAACCACGACACTATGAGGGTTGCTACAAACATTAGTGTTACCAGGGAAAGTTTGGAAAAAAGTGACGATAGATTTTATCGAGGCATTGCCACGGTCAGAAGGATTCACGGTGATCATGGTGGTCGTGGATCGCCTAAGTATGCACCTTTCACTCTTTTATGACATCCCTACATTTTTGTCTTAGTCGTGGCAGTGTTTTTCCGGTAAGTGGTCCATTTGCCCGGGGTGATGGAATCAATTTTATTGGATAGGGATAAGGTGTTCCTCGTTCACTTCTGAAAAAAGCTATTCATATTGCAGGGAACAACCCTTAAAAGAAGCATCACATATCATCCCCAGACTGATGGGCAAACAGAGGTGGTCAACAAAAGTATGGAGACATACCTGCGTTGTTTTGTATCTAATACACCAAAGCTATGGGCTAAGTGGTCGCATGAGCTGAATATTGGTATAATATTTTGTATCACAGCTCAGCACAGACAACCCCCTTTCAAGATATTGTATGGGCATGATCCACCTCACTTAATACATTATTGGCATAATACCACACCGATATTCAACGTTGATCAGTACTTGGAGGAGAGGGACAGGATACTAGCAGAGCTCAATGTTCATTTTATTGAGGGCTCAACAAACATTAAGAGCAAGGCTGACGGACACAGGAGAGAAATGCAATTTGAACTAGGAGACATGGTTCAATTGAAACTGAGGCCTTTCCGACAGAAGACATTAGTCAGGAGGAGAAATGAAACTGTAACCGCGGGGTGATGGCATGCATCAGAGCAGTGGCCTACCATTTGAAGTTACCATCATCATCCGCACCACACTCGGTTTTCCATGTATCATAGCTGAGACGTGTGATTGGAGATCATACACCCTCGTTTACACTACCGTCGAGACTGACGGAGGATTTGGAAGTGATTTTAGAGTCGCTAGAGATCGAATGAGTGAGCTGAGGAGTAGGGGGGCAAAGGAGATATTGGTTAAGTGGAAAGGACTGTCAGACTATGAAGCAACATGAGAGCTTTACGAGGTAATCCACAAGCAGTTTCCATCCTTCCACCTTGAGGACAAGATACTTCTTTAGGAGGTGAGTAGTTTTACGCCCGTTTCTGAAACGGTCCCTTGTGGACCGATCGAAAGCAAAAGCATCGGCCCGCCACAACAGTAGGCGGGTCGATCCTGTTCGTAAGAAGAAGTCAGGCGGGACCTTTCAGCGGCAGAAAGGGGCAGGGGTCCACGAAAGGCTTAATTACATACTCAAGGAAAAATTACAGCTGGTTTGGAGGGAAAGTGGAAAGAAAAGTTTTCAATTGCTGTGGGAGGATTTTAGTAAGGGGAGGAACCTATGATTTGTTTTTTTATGCATGTTTTGTTGGTTGTGTTTTTCTTCTCTTGTGGTGTTCATAGCGACGTCCAGGGTTATGGAAGGGCCGATCTACCTCTCGAATAGTAGATCACCTTTTATCTTACTTTTTTTTTCTTTATTTGTTTGTTAAGAGCAGCCCACTTTTGAGTTTACTTTCTACCCCTTGTCGTTTCATGATTGTTTGCTTGCTGATTTTGGCGCCAGAGCATATCAATCCTCTTCCATGGAGTTTCTTTTGGTTATTATAATACTTGGTTATAACTTCTGTGTGAACTTACTTTGGATTGTGCCTAACTTGGCTGATCATGTCAACAAGATGAGCTATATTGAAGCTTATGTGGGAGTGGTAAATGAACCATCTTACTGGTTGTTGATACATCTCTCTTACAGAAACAGATTACATGCTCCTTTTCCAGGCATTTGACTTACCGAACTTATTATTTTCTTTCATTACCATCGTGGACGCTGGTTCGCTTCAGATAATAACACTTAATTATCTTACGAGTTAAAGAGCAGTGAAATTTATTCTCAACTGTGAACAAAAGCCTTGTGCTCAATAAACCTTGAACGTTAAATTTTTTTTTGTTTTCATTAGTATTTGCTTACCTTTTTAGTATGAATCACTAGAAACTGCTTCTAATTTGCTGGTTTATAATCTTCTAGTTTATTAGATGTAGGTGTTGCTTATTAGGAGTTTGTCTAAATTGTAGATGAAGCGGTGGCCGTAGAACGTTCAGCAAGGTCCAAGATTTCATCAAAAGCTACTATTGATGAGAAGTTTGAAGCTTTACAACGTGCGGAGGAAAATTATTATCAAAATAAAGACCAAAACAAGCAGGTTTCCCGTCCACTATTTTTTTTTTATTTAGAAGATTTTTGAGTTGGGAGAAAATATTTGGTAGCGAGGTAATACATTATTATACAGAAATAGGTAATACATTATTATACAGAAATGTTCTAATCTTGCTTTCCTCAACAAAGTTTAATTCCCAGAGCGTTGCTTTTAGATTAATCGATTCCATACTGATTGCACATGTTAATTATCATGGTGTGTTTTTGTGCCAGACTACTTAATAGTAATGGATTCCCTTAACTGGTGAAACACACAAAAATGGTATACCATAAAAACTGTGAGGCTATGCTCCTCATGTTGGGCATCTTTTCTTAATAAACCCCCAAAATATCTTCAAGGAAAAACATGAGCATATCGGTGAGGTGGTTGGATTAGGAAGAAAATAGAAGTTTTTATTGCGTGGGGATGGTTTATGTAGAAGAAAATGAATGAATGGCTATCCCAGTTAATTAGAAAATACTTTTTCAATTGAATTTTAAACTTTCATTTTGTTTGTTTTGGAAAGTCATAATCTATAAATATTGTACTATTGTTCTTCACTAATAATTAGTCTAAAAATTATATTGTCCTATGAATTTTAAAATTTTCTTTTTATGTATGTTCCTATGAATTTATAGCCTACATAAAGGTGGAAAGGATTCAGGGAAAGGCATATTGTTTGTAATGACAGGTGTCTCAATTTGAAATTCGTGATTTAGAATTGCAATGATTTGCAGAGAAAAAAGAAGCCTATTGTTATACATGGGCATTTTCTAATGAGTGAATGTACTACTGGATCATCATATTAGTTTTTACCTAAATAATAACAACAAGAAGCCTTTGTCCCACTAAATGGGTTTGGCTACATGAATCGTTTTTCTCTATTATGTTCTATTGAGAGTCATATTTTATTTAATTCTAATAAATTAAGATCTTTTTTTTATACAATATACCCAAGTCTTTTAGGTCTACTTCTACTTTTCATAACAGAAGTCAAATCTAAAACATCTACTCTCTTAATTGGGTCATCAGATAGTCGACATTTAATGTGACCAAACTATCTAAGGCGACGTTGTCTAATCTTGTATGTCACTAAAGCTACTCCAACCCTTTCACGGATATATTCATCTCGCAAGTTGTCTCTAAGTGTACAACCACTCATCCACCTGAATAATCTCATCTCAGCAACACTTAATTTTTATTTCTCTTTTACAGGCCAACAATTTGCGCCATAAAGTATTATAGGTTTCATTGCCATTTTATAAAATTTTTCATTTAAATCTAAGTGATACTTTTTTTTATCACGCAGTATGCCTGATGCATTCCTCCACTTCTACTATCCAACTTGAATTCTACTATTAACATCCTCATCTATATATTACTTTGAACAATAGGCCCGAGATATCTAAAATTCACTCATTTTAATGACTGGATCACCCCGACGCATGGACTATTGTTGAATTGGTCCCAACTCAATTCAGCTAAGAGTGTCTAGTCCAGCATAGAGGTTGGACCGGTCGGCTGTTTGGACTGAAGTTTTGGGCAGGATTTATTGCCCCCTTTCCCCTTATTCTCCCACCTATTTTATTATATATTCATCGTTGTTTGTTTAGGGTTCATTTCTATGTGTTCTGATTTCCGATTCCTGACCGCCAAGCGTTTCCCCTTGTTAGGGTTGTATCCAAGGAAAAGTGTCACTCCTGCTGTATACTTCTCCAAGGTGGTGACCAAGTCAACCCGTTTCCCTCACAACCCTCTCCCTGTTTTCCAAGCTTCCAGTTGTTGCTTTTCCCCGTATCCGCTTGTTTCGTCGTCGCAAACCCTCTTGCCACCTCACTTGCTAACTTCCGCTCATGTTGTCCCTCCCTGCCGAGCCACACGAACCCATTGCCCCTTCTGCAGGGTTGCAACCCCCCTCCTATCACTTCCTTTACTTGTCGTTTAAATTCTAGTCATTCCTACTTCCACCACCGGCCTGTAGCAATCATTCTTACCTTTCAAACTGCCAACCACTGACCCACCTACCATTTCCTCCACCCCGCCCCACCCATCCCGTCACTACTGCCCACGAATATTCTGTTATTTTCTTGTATTTTTTGTCTCTATTTGAGTTATGACTGTAACCCTAGTTGTTTTGCTTAATAATATTTGTTTTTGTTATTGTGGTTTATATTAACTTTGATATCATTTGGTATCAGATTTAGCCTAACTCTAATTCTACCCTAGGGTTTCCTAGCATTTGTCTTACCCCTCCATCAAAATTTTCTTTCCTATTCCCTAATCATAGTCAAACTTTAACCTAATCTTAATTTTCTTTTGTTGATATCATTTTGCTTAATAAATCAATTTTTTACACCCTTCACCTCCCAACTCTGAAATGCAGCCATGCACGAAGGAGATACATGTCCAAGCCTACCCGAAAAGAGATACAACGAGCGATACGTCGACTTTAACGGGGGCTTGCGAATATTGAGGATGAAACCCAGAGGGGCTTACTCTCGATGGTGACAAGGAAAGTCGAAAGAGGCAAATAATTTTGATCCTTTTTCATATGGAGGATTTCAGTGATGAAGAAGAAAGACCATGAAGCTTTGGAATCTAGTATCAGAGGAGACCAAGTGAGAATACCCCATATAGAAAACACAGGGACTTCAAAATAAATGTGGATCTACCAGAGTTTGATGGAGGTATGGATCCATATGATTTTATCTAATGTCTACAATCAGTTGAGAGGATCTTTGAATACAAAGAGGTGTCAGAAGATAGAAGGGTGAAGCTGCTATCAAATTGATGAAGAACGTTTTCTTGCGGCGGGACAACTTGAAGAGGCAGAAGAAAGGAGAAGGCAATGATAAAATTACCAAGTGGCAGAAGATGTTGAAGGTGATGCGGAGAACATACCTACCTTCTCACTACTATCAGAATATGTTTACAAACCTCACTGCTTGTAACAAAGAGATCTATCAGTGGAGGAGTTCACGACGCAGTTTGATCAGTTGCAGATGAAATGTGATTTGGTCTAAGTGGAAGAACACACCATAACACGTTATGTGAGAGGCCTGAAGCCCACTATTGGCAATGTGGTGCAACTGCAACCTTATTGGTCACTTGGAGATGTCCAGCCTTAGCATTGAAAGTGGAAAGGTGGCAAAAACAGAGCAGACAACCATCATTGTTAAACAACCACCCATAATTGGAGACACCAGCAGGAGCATACCTTGGGGTGTTGAGAAAACTGGTTCGGTTAAGGATAGAGCCGCTCCTAGTGAGAAGCTTGAAAAGAGTAGCATAGCTACTACAATACCCGTCAGAAAATTCTTCAAATGTCACAGATTTGGGCACATCGCTTCCAGCTGCCCAATAAGCCAAGTTGCGTCTTTTACCAAGCGGCGCCCCATGGAGGAGGTTAGGGGCAAGGAGAAAGCTGAGGAATAGAGTGAGGTGTGTCATATTCCATCGGATGAAGGAGAGTCGCTCGTGTTTTGACTGGTCCTATATACTGATAATATGAGGGATTTAGAGTGGCTTCACCTCAATATATTCTACATTCTTTGCACTATGAACGAGAAGGTATACAGTCTCATCATTGATGGAGGGAGCAGTAAGAACGTGACATTCACATAGATGGTTGAGAAGTTGGGCCTCATGACTTAACGTGACTGAAGAAGGAAAATAGGGTCAACATTAACAAGAGAGTTGCCTAGTGGAGTTTTCGATTAGGGCCTAGTTGCAGGATCAAGTGTTGTGTGTGGTAGTACCCATAGATGTCTACCACTTTTTGGGGAGATCGTGACAGTTGACCGTAGAACTCAACACGATGGATTCATGAACACCTACTTTTTCTCCAAGGAGAGGAAGTGCATCGTCCTTCTCCCTTCTGCGGAGTCCGAAATCACAGGAGCCCTTTCTAGCAGAGCGACATTGGTGGGACCGGTTTTGGTGACGACAGAGGATAAGATCTAGATGTTGATTCTAGATACGAGACAATCACGACAGAGAACATTTCAGAACATCATGATTGATACCTTACTACCATGAACACCATCGTTCGGGAAGTTTTAGGATACCCTAACTTTAGATCAGGTTGAGCTGACCTTTGTTTACTTTGGGAGGGTTCAGTAGTATATGTGTGACACGGACCCAACTCAGTTCAGTGGACTCTCGGGGGAATGGATCAATATGGATGTATGCTCACAAGTGGAGAAGACTCTAGTGTTTTGGGGGACATTGCAGTCGTTAGTGGGATTTATGTGCTTCTCAAACTGCAGTAGAAGATGATTTAGCCCCGGAAGATTACATCAACTCTATCGCCATCAACATACAGCTAGAAGTTTCAACGAATGAAGTTGAAGCTTCCCTAACCTCAGGAGAATGACACAAAGGATATTGATGAATCGGTCCAACCCGGTCCGGCTAGGGGGTTTCTGTTTAGTAGGGAGGCTGGATTGACCGGCTGTTTGGATGGAAGCTTTGAGCGGGATTTACTGCCCCCTTTTCTCCTATTCTCCCACCATCTTATTCTATATTTGTTACTTGTTGTTTAGGGTTCGGTTTTGTGTGTTTTGATTTCATATTCTTAGTCGGTAGGCGTTTTCCCTTGCTATGATTGTATCTGAGGACAGGTGGCACTTTGGTTGTATATTGCTCTGAGGTGGTGACTCCCTTGACTAGTTTCCCCCCACGCAATCCTTCCCCTCTCCCTATTTTCCACACTCCCAGTCGTTGCTTTTCCCCGCGGCCTGCTTGTTGCGCCACCACAAACTCTCTTGCCACCTCACTTGCTAACTACCACTCACGCTCTTAGCCGCACCAACCCAGCGCCCCTCTCACAAGGTTGCAACCCCATCCTACCACTTCTACTTGTCGTTTTGCTTCTAGTCGTTCTTGCTTCCACCACCGGCCTACAACAATCCTGCTTGCCTTTCTAGCTTCTAGTCATCGACCCACCTACCACCTCCTCCACGCCGCTCCACTGTCAACCACCCATATTGTCACCTGTCTACGGA